CAAAAAAAAAAAAAAAAGAAATGACAGCAACAAACACCAAGTATAGAACCCTGTGACTATGTGATTATGATTAGCACCTTTCTTTTTCTTTTTCTTTTTTTTTTTGCGTTGGAGTCTCACTGTCACCCAGACTGGAGTGCAGTGGCCGCTCCCAGCCACCGCAGCCTCGACCTGCTGGGCTCCAGCGATCCTTCCGCCTCAGCCTTCCAAGTAGCTGGAACTACAGGCGCACGCTACCACGCCCGGCTAATTTTTTTTTATTTATTGTAGAGATGAGGTCTTGCCTGCCCAGGCAGGTCTCCCCGCGGGCTCAGGCAATCCACTCACCTCAGCCTCCCAAAGGCATGGGATTACAGGCTGAGTCATCGAGCCCGGCTTTTTTTCTTTTTAAATTGTAGACGAGGTCTCACCAAGTTGCTCAGGCTGGTCTTGAACCCGCAGGCTCAGGCAATCCCCTCGGCCTCCCAAAGCGCTAGGATTATAGGCGTGAGCCACCACGCCTGGCCACCTTTTTGAAATAAAAACCAACACATATTCACATGGCCAGATCATAAACATAAGTATCTCTGTGTGTACATGCATGCAAGTGTGTGTGTACACATATACAAATATATATTGTGCCCCTTCCCCCAAGAAATTGTTAGAAAGAGGTTACAATGGTTAACTTAGGACATTTTCACTTTTAATTTGGTGTTTTTCTGAACAGTTTTTCTAACTTTATACCATTTATAACTTATATTTATTTATTCTTTGAATGTCTATATAGGTATCTAGGCAGAGAGATAATATTTTCCTTTTTTTCTTTTTATTTCTTAGTATTCTTTAAACAAAATCTTGTAAAATATTGCATTTAAAATAAGGCTGGGGGTGGTGGCTCATGCCTGTAGTTCCAGTTACTCAGAAGGCTGAGACGGGAGGATCATCTAAGCCTAGGAGTTTGAGGCCAGCCTGGGCAACAGAGTGAGACTCTGCCTCAAACAAACAATCAGAGAAAAAGTCATATCTGTAGCCCTCCTCCAAATCAATTCCTTATTTTTCATCTTGCTGCAGGAACTTCATGGCTCTTGTCTTTAGATTTGAAATTAAAAGCAGTTAATGACCATTATCTTTGTATACCTAAGAGAAACATTCCTGGCCTAGATTGAAAAAGCTAATTTCCAAAAGACATGACAATGAATCACCCAGCTTTTCAATGAAAAAAAAAAAAAACTCTGGATGAAAACAGGTCACTGTCAGCTAGAGGTGGGTCCAGATTCCGGCTCAGGTGTCATCTTGCGAGCGCCTGTAATCCCAGTGCTTTGGGAGGCCGAGGTGAGTGAATTGCCTGAGCCCGCGGGTTCCAGACCCGTCTGGGCAACTTAGAGAGACCTCATCTCTACAATAAATCAACAAAAAATCAGCCGGGCGTGGTAGCGCGCGCCTGTAGTTCCGGCTACTTGGAAGGCTGAGGCGGAAGGATCGCCGGAGCCCAGCGGGTCGAGGCTGCGGTGGCCGGGAGCGGCCACTGCACTCCAGTCTGGGCGATGGAGTGAGACTCCAACTCAAAAAAAAAACAAACCAAAAAAAATGAAATAAATTCAAATTGACAGCACTTTTCAATCTTTCTCAAGCCTAACAGCGCCCCCTGCTGGTTTTGTAATTTACAGTCTGGTGTAAAAAAAGTGTAATTTATAGATGACCAAAAAATCACCTTGAAACCTGAAATGGGTTTAGTTTTCCTTTCTAGAGTATAAAAGCAAAACAAACAAACAAATATCCAGCTTAAGGGCTAGGTATATAATTATTATATATTACATACAAATATGTATTTGTATAAGTATGTATACATAACCCAAGCTATATAGTATGCTATTTATTCTATATTTTAATATATATAAAATAAATCATATAATAAAATTAATATACACGCATGCATATATATAAAACATGTTATAAATAGCTCAGTTTGATGGCAACAGCTCTAAACTGAAACTATTTTGACCTCAATTCAAACTTTTATCAGAGTTCTAAACCACCTAGGTTTGATTTAATTCTTACTTTCGTAATTACTTACTTTCATAATTACTTTCATAATTTTAATTTATTTTTACATGTTTTAAGAGTCAGCCAGCATCAACAAATCCTAATGGTATTCAGTCAGAAGCTAAAAGAATGGTTGTCCATGAGCCCTGCCTGTGATTAGGCTGTCAGTTCTGGGATTTTTTTCTAAGAGACAGGGTCTTGCTCTATCACCCAGGCTGGAGCGTAGTGATGCAATCACAGCTTACTGCAGCCTCAAACTCCCAAGCTCAAGCGATCCTCCCACCTCAGCCTCCTGAGTAGCTGGGGTTACAGACATGTGCTACTATGCCCAGCTAATTTTTGTATATTTTGTAGAGACAGGGTCTTGCTACATCACCCAGGCTGGTCTGGAGCTTCTGGCTTCAAGTCATTCTCCCAACCTGTCTCCCAAAGTGCTGGGATTACAGGCACCAGTCATTGTGCCTGAGTCATAATTTTACGAATAGACCTATATTTCTCTGTATTTACCAAATCTATAACTATAAAACAAATTAATTTCAATTTTTATTCTTAATGTCTTCAGTCTTGCAGATTTGAGATCTATGTATTATTAATTTTATTATTATATTTGATTATAAAAAGGCTCCTATTCTTACTTTGAGAAATAAATAATCAACTATATTCTTGAATTTCAAACTTCATCTTTTTACTTCAATTTTTTAAAACGAGTTTTTAATGGATGAATTTGCATTAGAAGGTGTTTTGCTGTCTAGGTTACCCCCCAGAGAACTACACCTGTGATGGAGACCGAGGAAAGATTCTGAGACAAGCCACTGGTTAGTTTCAGACTTTATAAACAGCAGTGAGCCAACAGCACCCTCTGGTGCCCCGAAACTAGAATGAACCTTCTGCATCAGGATACCCGGATATAACCTGGAGGGCAGAAAGCTCAAGGTTGCTCAAGGCAGCAACTGCTTGTCGCGCTCTGATTAGTACTAAGGTACGTGGGGACGTGGCGGGGAGGGGGGGAGAATTCACAGAGAAGTCAAACCCATCCACTTTTTTTTCTTGAGCCGGGATCTCACTCTGTTACCCAGGCTAGAGCGCAGTGACATGATCATGACGGTCATGGCTCACTACAGTCTCTACCTCCTGTGCTCAGGTGATTCTTCCACCTCAGCCTCTCAAGTAGCTGGAACTACAGGTGTGAACCACCACGTCCAGTTAATTTTTTAATTTTTATAGAGACAAGGTCTCGCTATGTTGCTGGTCTCAAACTCCTGGACTCCAGCAATCTGTCAACCTCGGCCTCCCAAAGTATTAGGATTACAGGCTTGAGCCACCACGCCCGGCAAAACCCATCATTTTTGTCACTCAAGGAACTTTCATTTCAGTTGGGAACACACCATACTATGCAATGAAACCCCTGAATGTGGGGTATGTAGACACTGAGGGGTTGGTGCTTGGTTTGATTAACAGAGGAGAGTCATGCTTCACATTTAATCACCCTCCAAATTGTGCTGGTCTTCTAAAAACATGCCTGAAAAAATAAATCATGTTTCACAGACCCCATATCTTCTTTCTACCCCACCAAAATCTCGGTAAGCTCAGGTGATATCTAAATGTGGTCCACAGTTTTTACCTGCTGTTATGCTGATGGAGAAGAAGAATTTCTCCGCATTTCAGTAACAGAAACTTTCACCAGGAAACAAGTGGTGCAAATGAAGGGTTATTTCACTATCATTTCTTTTACCAAGATGTTAAGAAACCCTTCTCTCAGGGTAGGGGTGTCAACCAGTGGGGGCAGACATTTGCATTCCTCAGCTGGGTCCCAAGAAAGGCTTGTAGACTGCGGCCCTTACCTGGGGCCTTCTCCTCAGTACTTACTTCTGGATCGCATGTAGCAGTCGTTACAGTTTAGAAGACCATTTCGAATCCTAACATCCGTCCCACTCACTGCATCTCCAAGCTGTCCTTTACAAATTCCACACTACGGGCAGAAAGCACAAGTGTTATCAGAGGGGTAAGGAGTGGTTTCCTTGTAGTGCTTAGTTACTGTTGACATGGGTAACAATCTCAGCACTTGGGGAGTGTCTATCACGTGTTAGACACTACACCAGTATTAATGTGCAGCACAAGTAAGCATGCTTGGAGTGTTTTATCTTAGTTACTTGCATTTTATAGAGGACACAGGTTCAGAGAGGTTTGTGGACTTGTCCCGTGGTTGTGAAACTGGTTAGTAGTATTAGAGTGACTCCAAAGTCTGTCATATCTATCTATCTATCTATCTATCTATCTATCTATCTATCTATCTATCTATCTATCTTCTATCACCTATTATCTATCATCTATGCATTATCTATCACCTATTATCTATTTTCTATCATCTATCTATCATCTCCTATTATCTATCTATCATCTCCTATTATCTATCTATCCATCTATGATGGGGTCTCACTCCCACCTGGACTGGAGTACAGCGGCATGATCACAGCTCACCACAGCTTCAACCTCCCCCTCAGTGGATCCTTCCACCTCAGCCTCCCAAGTAGGAGGTGGAAATAGAGATTGAGAGTCTTGATCATCATGACTCCTTTGCTGGGACTATAGGCACACACCACCATGCTCAACTAATTTTTTAACTTTTTTTTTTTTTTTTTTTTTTGCAGACACAAAGTCTTGCTACATTGTCTAGGCACGTCTCAAGTTTCTGGGCCCAAGCGATTCTCTTGGGCTATTCATTCCGAGGTCTACAATTTTACAACTAGCTATAGCCCTTTAACAGATGGGAAATGTTCCATTAGGTCAAAGAGTAAAACCCTTTGACGTTAAATCACAAGAGTTTAAGAAGGAGCAAAGATACTACATTCCAAATAGATCCACATAGCCCTAAAAGATTTAGAAGCGTCATTCTTCTCCTCAGTGTCCCATTTTCAGCTGTCTGCTAGAGCATATGTTCTTCAACAGCAAGAATGGCAAATTGCACACATCTGTTTTGCTTCTTCTAATCTGACACCCCAGAGGGATTTGTGATGGGAGAGCTTCATCCTGAGGATGAAATCCACCCACCCATCTACACAGCCCTCCCAAGCAAAGGCCTTCAGGGGTTCTCGGAGGTATTCACAGCACAGAACAAAGTCAGAAGTCATCACGAAACTGGACTTAGAGAGAAGAACAAGGAATACGTACCCTAAAACACTGAATGTGGAAATAGAGATTGAGGGTTTCGATGATCATGGCAGCTCCTTTGCCCAGAGGAAGCCCACAGGAAGAGCAAAGCTTCTTCCCACTGATAGACCTGGGTTTAAAAATAGATGCAATAACAAAAACTTCAGCTTAGAGCACTTGGTCTCACACACAAGCATGTGACCTTTTACATGTAACATGCAGGACACAGATTTTCAAGATGCTTATGTCATGAATGGAATGAGAATTACTGAACAGACAATGAGTCACCAATGAAGCATGAGATATAAATTGGAACCAACCACTAGACTAAATGTGAGAGGCCTCCTTTGTGGCAGTGAACCTGTCGTGCGCGCGTGTGTGTGTGTGTGTGAGTTATTTGTTCCAAGAAGTTTGTGTTGTCATCCATCCAAATGTCTTGAAGTGAGTCAATATATTTATCATTCATTTTCCTAAGTCCTAAAACGATGACCATGTTTAGCTTTGCTAAGGTTTCACTGTCACTTGAAGATTTTCCATAATTGGCTCGTTGGTCCACTTAGGCATTTCTTTTTATTTAAGAAAAAAATGATTTTGCTTAAAAACAGAGTCAGTTGTGATACAGCAGAACAAGTACTAAGCAGAGGGCCCGAGAGATGGGATCTACTCTGCTCTGTCACCAAATTCTGTGACCTGGCGTAACAGACTCAGTTTGGGTTTCCTTTTCACCTTTAATAGGAAAGGATTGGACTGGATGATCTCATCACCTCTTTCAGTGCAGGCATGCTGTGAATCTACAGTCTGGCATGTGCCTTCTCTCTATACTGCAAGCCCCTGGAGGGCAGGAATGCATCTACCCATCTCTGTGCCCCTGCAGCTCCCAGTAAAGCACCCACCAATGGACTAGAACCAAACCAGCAGACCGACCCCAGGGGAGAGGACACATTCAGCAACCCATCTGAAACCAGGTCGCTGTCCTCTGAAGGCGGTTTTCCTAGTTCTAAGATTCCACTGCAATGATGCCTCCTGTGTGAGAAGCTCTTGGAATCGCACAAAGCAATTAAACATATGCAATATCACTTGAAAGCCAGGGGACAGAGTGACAGAAGAAACAGAAAGGAAGACAGCAGCAGAGATGAAGTGTTGCCCTAATCAAACCCTCAGTTAGGGCTTCCCTCTTATTCAGGAGCTAAATGAAATTTCTACATCAAAGGGAACCTCTCAGCACTCAGTCATTTATCTCCCCAGCGAATGGAAGCTCAAGCAGCTTTTAAGAATATCATGAGGCCCAATTAGTGTCCAGATGCAATCGTTTGAGAGCAAGAGTGGGTTGAAAGAGAAGGATGAGGCTGTGTTTCTCAGCCTCCGCCTGGTTCTCTGTAAGAGCCATCAGCGGATCCTGCCTGGAAGGACAAGCCGTCTTAGAGAGAAAGGCGCCGGTCTGGAAGCCTGGCCCTTGTCTGGTGGATTTTCTTATTAGATTGCAGGTTCCACACAATGCAATTAAAGCCCCATGGCCACAGCCGTGCCAAAGCCACACGCTTGACTTTTTCTATTGCGGCTGATAAATGGTGAATGTTCCTTTTCTTCCTGCCTGTGTGTGTGTGCGGGAAGGGATGTGGATGAATGGATCCCCAAGACCATTTGGCAAGCTCAGGGGAAACGATTGTCTCTTGAGCTCGAGTCAAACCAGAGCAGCCCCGAAAGGGCCGGCTGACCTCCTATACCTGCTGGGTGACTGGCCAGGAGGGGTGGGAGAACAGGGGGACAAGGGCCCGGCCCGGAAGTTCTCTCGGGGGCTCTTCCTGTAACATGACAAAGAGCCAAAAATTACAACAAGTACAGAGAGGCTGACTCCATACGAAAGGACTTGGAAGGCTGAGGCGGAAGGATCGCTGGAGCCCAGCAGGTCGAGGCTGCAGTGGCCGGGAGCGGCCACTGCACTCCAGTCTGGGCGACAGAGTGAGACTCCACCTCCCCCCCCAAAAAAAGAAAATCAAAGACATTTTATCTTATTTTATTTTATTTTTTGAGTTGGGGTCTATCACCCAGGGTTCGTGTGCAGTGGCGTGATCACAGCTCACCGCAGCCTCGATCTCCTGGGTTCAGGTGATCCTCCCGCCTCAGCCTCCTGAGTAGCTGGGACTGCAGACACATGCCACCACACCCAACTATTTTTATTTTTATTTTTTAATAGAGATGAGGTCTTGCTATGTTGCCCAGACTGGTCTTGAACTCCTGGGGCTCAAGTGACCTCCCAAAGTGCTGGGATTACAGGTGTGAGCCAGTGCACACAGCCAAGAAAAGGCATTTTAGATAAGAAAGAAAACTTCTTTGACAGCTAAATTGAAGACCACAAAGTCTCCTAGTGGTTTTTTTGTTTGTTTGTTTGTTTTGTTTTTTAAGAACAAAAATAGTAGCAATGTCTAAAGAGGATTGTACATGCATTGGCTACATAAAATCAAAATCAGTTTGGCATGCTGGCATTGTTGAACAGAAAAGACAGAATCATCTTCTTATTTTTATTTTTAGTGAAATTCTTCAGCTAAAAATGCTGAGTTGATTTTAATATTGTTCACCAAACTGCTTCTGTATACTAAGCTCCACATAAAAATTATGGCCTCGGTGGGAGGGATACAGGGTAACACTCTTAAGGAGAGCCCAGAAATAAAAGGCAAACCTTAAAGAAGGTATTTTCAGTGAGGTGGTTTCCACCTTTATCAACAAATTCATTATGGATACATAATGATGATGTTCAAAACATTTAAAAACTGCTACATCATGGGCATCGACAAATCCGAATGGCCTCCAGCCAGAAGCTACCCAAATTATTGCCCATGGTTAAACTGTCAGTTCTGAGTTCTTTATTTTAGAGACAGGGTCTCGCTCTGTTGCCCAGGCTGGAGTAGTGGCATAATCACGGCTCACTGCAGCTTCGATTTCCTGGGCTCAATTGATTCTCCAGCCTCAGCTTCCTGAATAGCTAGACTGCAGATGCGTGCCACAATGCCCAGGTCATTTTTAATTTTTTGTGTGGAGACAACATCTTACTACATTGCCCAGGCTTATCTAGAACTCCTGTACTCAAGCGAGCCTCCCACCTTGGCCTCCCAAAGTACTGGGATTATAAGCATGAGCCAACACACCCGGCCTGGGTTCTTGCTTTTAAAAGTGAATTTCACTTGTAAAGAAAGGCGAAGAACACAGAAAAAGAACAGGGGGAAAGAAAAATACCAGCACAAAAGTGACCACAGTGTGAGTCTATCTGGTTCTAACTGCTTTTAGCACAGCTCCCTGAGCCTCTAGCCCACCCAAACATCCCTCCTTAGGCAGAAATTCATCTCCAAAGTATCACATTTTCATGTAATTCCCTTAAGTGTGAGTACCAATGCTTAAAAAAAGAAAAAAAAGGTTATAACACTGCAATGATCAATAACAACAATGATTACTTCAATGTGATTTTTAACTTCTGTTGATTCTTAGTATCATACAGACACTGTGAAATGAAACTGGATAGTTATTAGAGAAAAAAAGAAAATGATGCCAACACTATATTGAGGAAAAAGTCAGGCAAAGAAAAACAAGGCAAAACGTGAGTATTTTTTTCTTATAAAACACGTCACTATCATCACTATCATCATCACCTACACCACACAGCATTTACTACTACCCAGGCACAAAATCCTGTGAGATGGGTACTACTGTTATTCCCATTTATATAGATAAGGAAACTGAGGCAGAGGAAAATTAAGTAATCTGCCTAAGTCGTTTGTCCTGTGCAGGCAAGTGGCAGAGTCAAAATTTGAATGGAGGTGGTCTGGCTCCAGGAAGAGTGTCTGGTTACAGTATGATGAATGTTATGTTTTAAAAAACTGTAATCATAGGAACCTCTGGTTCAAGTGTGCTCTTTCTGTGAAACTGAAGGTTCATGCTGAATTCCTCTATCTCTTAACCAGTCAAACACACTGGGCAAGTTATTGAACTTCCACAAGCCTCCATTTCCTCTTCTGTAAAATGGGAAGAGCCTCATGAAATTACTGGGAGGGTTCAGTGAGTTATCATATAAAGAGAAGAGAAGCAGAGGTAAGCTCTTCAGCATAGTGCCTGTTACACTGAAATGGTTCAAAAATGATAGAATCTACTATTACTGTAAAGAATACATTCTTACAAAATTAGAATATAGCCTGGGGCAGCTCCCTTAATGGAACTTAACCATGAGAGAAAAACAATTGTTTTCCTTAAAGAACATTTGTCCATAGGTTTTGAGGCAATTTAACTCACTAAAGTTTTACAAATACAACAAGCCTGCAATTTCCCCCTCCCCCCAATTTTTACATTTGTGGGCTAAAAACAGAACTTTTTCGTTTATTTTTTTAGTTGGTGTCTCACCCTGTTGCCCAGGCTGGCGTGCAATGGCACAATCACAGCTCACTGCAGCCTTAACCTCCTGAACTCGGGTGATTCTTCTGCCTCAGCCTCCCAAGTAGCTGAAACTACAGGTGCATGCCACCACACCCAGCTAGTCTTTGGATTTTTTTTTTTTTTTTTTTGTAGAAACAGGGTCTCACCAAGTTGTTCATTTTGATCTTGAACTCCTGGGTTTGAGCAATACTCCTATCTCAGCCTCCAAAAGTGCTGGGATTACAGGCATGAGCCACCACACCCAGACAAAAACACAACTTTGCTAATTGCAAATCTATACATCCAGAGTAAGTGTTTATTTGCCAAGAAGACTACCCCAACTTTAATAAACATTTGTTACTCTGTCAATGAGACAAAATGGTGAGAAAGCACAAAAGTGCTGCTGACATCCTGCCATTTCACACTTTTTCCCTTTTTAGGAGAATCAATATTTTTTTTTTTTTTAAGGAACCCCATGGGCATCCTGATCAGTTACTTACTTCCGCCTTTCGCTAGGAGACTCCATCTGATGGTTGATGCTTTTATCCAGCGGGAGGGTCTTGGGCTTCACCTCTTCCAAAGTGTGCACTGGCCAGCTTGATACTTGCTGATTCTGGGATGAATCTGAGGCCAAGCAAAGCACAAGTTCTGTGCTCAACAAAGTCACCCCAGTGCCTCATAACCCGCTTGTCTTTGCGGTGGTAGTGATGCCTGCAGTGACGTCCTGCAGATTCTGGGCACGCACTGGTAGATTCATTCTAGCATAGAGGAGGTTGGGAACCAAGCTCTTTTGCCTCGCTGATTTTCCATGTAATGATAACACCACGTAAAAAATTCTGTCTTCTTACACATTAAATAAAGAAAATTTGGGTGGATGCAATTAATTTTTTTTTCTTTTTCGAGTCAGAGGCTCACTGTGTTGCACAAGCTGGAGTGCAGTGGCACAATCATGGTTCACAGCAGCCTTGACCTCCTGGACTCAGGTGATCCTTCTACCTCAGCCTCCCAAGTGGCTGGAACTACCAGTGTGTGCCTCCACACCCGACTGATTCTTTTGATTTTTTTTTTGAAGAGATGAGGTCTTGCTATGTTGCCCAGGCTGGTCTCAACTCCTGGGCTCAAGCAATCCTCCCACCTCGGCCTCCCAGAGTGCTAGGATTACAGGCGTGAACCACCACGCCCAGCTGAAACATAATTTCTCTGACACACAGATTATATCAACTGTGCTGTGGTTTAAATCCACGGAGCAGCTGAATGGCTTTCAGCTTGCAGAACACCTCTGTATGGGAGTGCACACAAATCTATGCTTATATATTATACACCCATGTAAATATATGCAGACACAATATGACCAAAAGCACAAAGTCAAACTCATTAATTCAGTCATTAAAAAACGTTTATTGCTCAGCCATATTTGCTGTGGCTGTAAATGTATTTATCATGCTTACCCTTGCATCCTCCTAACTCATCTCTCTTCTTTATATAAGTCAACATTTGAAATGCCCATTTTCTAGGAATGATCCTGTCATGGTGACTCTGACCATTTTTGTGAAGACTACATTTCATTTTTGTCATAGTGAGTGTGGAGCATGAGAAACACAGGTGGGAATAGAGGTGAACTGGCAAGTGGAGCTGACGGAACCTTCCCAACCTTCCAGTGTCCTCAACCTGGCTTTGTGGATTCTGCTTGTCCATAAGTATTTATGTGAAAATTATATTCACTGGGAATTTTTTTTTTGAGTTGGGGTCTCACTCTGTCACCTAGGCTGGAGAGCAGTGGCACAATCACAGTTCACCTCAGCCTCCAACTTCTGGGCTCAAGTGATCCTCCTACCTCAGCTTCCTGAGAAGCTGAGATTACAGGTGCACACCACCATGCTTGGCTAATTTTTTTTTAATTTTTTTATTTTTTTAGTAGAGACAAGGTCTTGCTATGTTGCCTAGGCTGGTCTCGAACTTGTGGTCTGAAGTAATCCTCTTGTCTCAGCCTTCCAAAGTGCTGGGATTACAGATATGAGCCAGCACATCTGGCCAAGGAATTGTGAAATTTGAGGAAGTCTCCAAATGTACTACATCTGAAGGTCTATAAACCGTAACTGTAAAGTTACATTTTTAAAAAGGGCTAATATCTGCCCAGGTCTCCCTGGGTCCCCAGGGATTTCATAATTTTACTAAATACTTAACATGAGCTGGAAGTCCAGGGACCTTAGAGAGACGCTCACAGCCGATTGAGATCATATCTGTCTAGGTGCTGTGGGGTTTTATGACAATTTAAACAATTTAAATGGCGGTCTTCTCCATTCTTACCCTGAGCTAGCTGTGGGTTCATCCCACTGTGTGGGGTCCCCGTCTCTGCATCCAGCTGAGGGTCCTGAGGGATCCCTTTTGATACAGGATTCTCAGAATGAGCCATGGTCCCTTGAGTTAGGCTGTTAAAATAAAGAAATATACTTCAGAACAGTGACAAAGGCAACTGGATTGAACTTACTATTCCTATTCCCAAGGGCATGGAAGTACCAACTACACTGCAAAAAAAGAGATGGGACTCAGTGTTTATTTATTCCTTTTATTTTAAACTGGATTTGAGATGGATTTAAGATAATAAAGCACTATACATTTTTATTAACCATCCATTAAGCAAGGACAACGAACTCTCATTTCTGATGTCTTTCTCTTCCACAGAGATTTTCATTCTAATCGTTTCAAGGAATGCCAGAGCTAACTGGAAACTCCCAGACTTTCACCAGAGAGAAGTATTGTAGGAATCATTTGGGCCACGTGGAACCTTTGCAGTCCATGGTCATTCACTGGCCTTCCAGTGACTTCTGTGTGCAAGGAAAGGGGAGATGGAGGAGATAGAAGGAAAGTTTCTGGTGGCAACAGGGAAAATTTGGAGAACTAGCCAAAAGTCACTAAAATGCTTATCAGCATCATTCAAATCTTCCCAACTAGAAGTTTTCATTGCCTAAAATTAGAAAGTCCCTTAAACAGTGTTAACTGGCCACAGATGTGCTCATCCAATGTTTCTTTTTTTTCTTTTTTTTTTGAGTTGGGGGCCTCACTCTGTCACCCAGGCTGAAGTACATGGCATAATTACAACTTAGTGCAGCCTCGAAATCCTAGGGTCAGGTGACCCTCCTGCCTCAGCCTCCTGAGTAGCTGAGACTACAGGTACACACCATCCCGCAGGCCAATTTTTTGCTTTTTTTATAGAGTTGAGGTCTCACTATGTTGCCCAGGCTGGTCTCAAACTCCTGGGCTCAAGTGATTCTTCTACTTCGGCTTCCCAAAGTGCTGGAATTACAGATGCAAGTAACCATGCCTGGCCTGCAGTTTTGGGACATAAGTCCCAAGCTCCCATAGTTTACAATTCATCCAGTCTTATAGCTGACAAGCACAGGAGAATCTTCAGAACAAAACCTACCAGGATAGCTCAGCTCACAGACAACCTTTCAAACTGGCCAGTCTTTGAGAATGATACTTCATCATTCTTTGTGCCCTCGGGATCCCTTTGGGGATGCTGTGTGTACCCATGCATGCACTCTTGCCAACTCCCATCTGGTTTCTCAGAGCCCCAAAGGCAAACATCAGTGTCATGAAGAACATGCTGGTGGCAGGGTGCTGCCAGCCTCCTGGGCTTCTGCAGATACCTTCTAGGTTAGGCGTGGGTGACATCAATAAACCCACAATAGCTCATAGCCACACCAGAGACTGCTCCCATCTGAACTGACTTTGTGTGACCCAGGGGTCGCCAGATGGGCTCTTCCCATCTCCTATGGAACATACTAGAACCCATGACTGGGTCAGGTGATTACCCACCACCAATCGGCTAGTTGGTTATCCTTTATATTATCACCAGAGTAAATGTAACTTCTCACAGCTTAGGGGATTGTAACAGCCAAGTTCAAGTCCACAGTGAAATCACAGTGGTGAGACCCCAGGGCCTCATTTCAACCTCTGGCACTCCAGACACGGTCACCATTTCCAGTGGGTAATATTTAGGTTTGGGGTCTTGAATTGACAACATAGTCTGGGTGATTGATAAAGTCTCCCCTTGCTTAAAAAAAAGTTTCGCCTACTTGAAAATAAGGCCATTTATATTCCAGAGCACAAGGACACTGACTTCAGAGCTATTATAATATGCTCAAGCAATATGTAATGTATTACTGGAACGATCATTGCAAAGCTGAATATAATTTGCATTAGCAATGGGTACCTTTTCTGGGACTGAATGAGCACAGCCCAGCTTTGTAAATTTGCACAGACAGCCAGGGATGGGCCCATACCTGCCCTTCTCCTCCAGTGGGTCACTGTCCCTGGTCTTTAGCAATAAGTCATCGTCATCCCCCTGGAATGATTTCTTCTGTCTTCTCTCTTGTTTTTCATCTTGACAGTTTTCCAACTCCATTTTACTCTAAGGAGAAAAACGAGAATCATCTTAAATAAACATTTTAAACACACCCTACCACACTGCTCTCTAACTATGGGATATCTGAAGCATTTTCCAATCATGTTGCCTACAATCTAAAGGACAGTTGTCCAAATTAACTGAATGACATCTGCCTTCCAATGATTTGGAATAAATGTATTAACTGAATCTCTCTCAAAAAAATTATCACAATTGAGGACTGGTTAGAAAATCCCCCTTTAAAATAAAAGTCACAGGACTGCTCGTTTCAAGACAAATAGTACTCTAGCATCCATGTGTTATTTAAGGATTTGCAGATTTTGGAATATCTGGGTCTTGGCATGGCTTCTGTCCGGTATCTCCAGGGCCTAATTTGGGGGAGGTGGAGGTAGAACAGCCTTTCCAGGCTGTCTCCAGTCCTGGAATTCACAGGTAAATTTCTTGTGGAATTTTTGGGGTCAGAAGCAACCTTCATGGAGGCTGGTGGAGAACATTCTGCCGCTACTAAGCAATGCAATGGAATGTACGGTGTAGAAGAGAGGAATAAATGTCTATTGAATGAATGAATGAATGATCTGGGAACTGGGCAGTGAGACGGACATGCCAGCACATGACTTCACTAACTGAGATCTTGCCAGGCAGATGTGGAGGGACTTTGGCTGCCAGCCTGTTGGGGCAGATCTGGCAGGGATAGTGACTTTACTGCTTCTCAGCAAATGACTCCAGGGTCTGGCTGAGGCTGTGACAGAACAATGGGGTCCAACGGCAGGGATGGGGAGCGGGGAGGTGGGGGGAATAGCCAGTCCTGGTTGAAACAATTGAGTTTGGTGAGAAAACTTGACTGTGTTGTTTTGTACTTCAATTTAGGTTTGTTAATTTCACAAATTGCTTTTCATATGTGGTCTTACCATTGTCCCACTGGCTTCAGTCACGGAGGAAGATGTGGACAGCTGGTCTGCAGAACTTGAAGAAAGTGTCAATGGAACCACAGTGTCCTCAATTATCTTACGCTCCTAAGGGGGAGGGACAGAAATCAATCAAATGGGAGAAAATAAAAAATCTTCTTTGTCAGAGAGAAATTTCATTAAGGAACTTTAGAAAAGAAATCAGAACATGTGCAAACAAGCAAGGAATAAGAAAAAAGTCTTATTTTCCAAAAAGCATGCAAATCCTATATCACTCTCCATGGGCAATGATTTAGAAATTAGCATTTAATTTAGAAAAAAAAAAGTCCCTGCAAGTTAATTAGTTGGTGTGATGCAAGAAGCCTAATTAGAAATGCTATTAGGGATCTGATTATGCATAAAAGTTACTGTTGAAGATAAAATTCACAACAGTGTTAATCATGAACAAATTTAGGCAGTATACGTTAAGATGCAACCCCCTTTAACTTCTCTGATGTGTTCTGACTTGTTCATTTGAAAAAACAAAATGAACCAAACCAAAATTCTCTTTCCCTCCAAATCTCCTTAGTCCTATTGCAGAGTAAATGCATTAATAAGGAGACATTCATTCAGCCTCAATACCAAAATGATCCACGTAAGATGAATTCACTATCACAAAAACAACAAACAAGCAAACACACAAGTAGAGACACTGATTCATTTATGTCATCTTCTACGATACATCAAGAATCCGCCTCACTGACTAGACACAGATGTAGCTGTCAGCTCCCTTGACCGTGACTCAACACACCCTAACCACAAACTGTATTTAGTGGGGGTGGGGACTGTGGTCTTTCAGCACCTCTAGGATGCAACCGTTTTAAAGAGAACAGCGGGATCCTGCAAAGAGTAAACAGTCAGACACAGTCACGTGCATACATGCCGCAGACACAGACGGTGTGGACAGATTTTGAGGAACCGAGACCACGAGGTCCGATTCCTTCTCAGAATTTCCTACCTCTTCATAGTATCTGCGTTCTTCCTCTTCCACCTCCTTTTGGGCTTTTTCCCACTCTTCTTTCAGCTTGTCCTGTTCCTTCTGGTATCTCTCCTGTCACGGAATGTCCACAGATTGTTCTGAACTGACCACTGCAAACATCATCGGGAATTTTCTTCCCCTCGAAACCACCACATACAATATGTTGCAAGATTATCTTCCTATTGTAACATGCCAAATCTGATCGATTCACACAATAAAAGGAGAATGCAATTTTGGGGTGCTCAAACATTTTAGGAACATAAAAATCCACCAGTGAATAGTATTTCCTGCTGGTTGTGTTTTATAAAATTGGTCTTTAGATCTAAGAGTAGAAATTTGCTCATAGAAAGAAAAAAGATGGAAAGTCTCTAAAATCTTTCTCCTTTGGGTTTTGTCCGAAGTAGGCTGAACTAATAGTTTGCTCTTACTGGACCCTCCAGAGATGAGTTTTGCCACAAGAATTTAATAAAAGACAGAAACCTTGAAGGTTTGCAAGACAGACAATACAGAAAGGTCCAATCTGGACAAGATGATAATTAGCTGAGTGGCTGAATGACCCTTTGTTTGTGACCCTACTGCCCAAATGGAGTCTTCCCAGCTTTAAATAACGTCTGAATTAAGAGCAGTTTTTAAACAGCCCATTAGAGTGCTTCAGTGTCAGAGCCGCCATTCTTGTTTTCAGAAACAGTGCAACACTAGTCACCACTTCTGGGGGGTAAAACATAAAATATTCTGAACAAAAATGGGGTCTGAAATGTGACTGAAGTTCCTGACAGCCAACTGGAAGAAATAAATAAATGGAGATTGAAATTAATGCTTAAATTGAGAACCGCCCCCCACCCCGCCCGATGCCTTGGAAAGGGCATCCGAATGGGACAGAGACAAAGAAACCATTGGTGTGTGGGGCACACACTCACAGATGCTCGGCTGATTATTTCAACTCTCTCTTTGGGGCAGAAGCAAGTCTGTGCTTCTGTCTTCAGGGGAAGACACTGAGGTTTCCTCCAGGTATCGCCTGTCATGTCTCCATCTTAGTAGCGAAAGGACTTTGCTGGAATTGTCTGGAGTCTGGGGTTCTAAACTGACCTTGGGCAAAATCATTGTTGGCCAACCCATGCATGGCAGGCTTTTTCTCTCCAGGTAAAAATTTGTTAGCAATACCAAATATTATAAAGTTTTAGAGAGGGACTTCGGGGCTTTTCAGAATAGAGGAAACAGATCTTAAATCTACATGAAAGCTGGAAAACAAGCCGAGCTTCTTCTTAGGTTTATTGGTTTCAAGAGCTCACATTATCTGCTGCCCTCACCAAGAGGATGGACTGAGGATACAGGACTTGAAAGATGCCGTTCATCTTACACTTACACACACACACACACACACACACACACACACACACACACACACGTGCCTTTCCTCCCCCCAAAAACACCTTGACCCACAACCTAAGATGCCACACCAGGTAACAACTGGGCAAGACAGAAGCAGTACCTATACCTATACCTTGGGTGTGTACTAGACAGAGTGGGGTCACATTCGCCTGTCCCCTGTGCCCTGTAGAATTTCTGACTCTTGACTGTTTTAGCTGGGAAGTGTGCACTTGATTTTCAAGAGGACAATAGATGGTCAGGGCTGCTCTGAGGTCTCCAGTGGACCTAAAGTCCCGATGGCCCTGGGACTTTGATGAATCGGGTTCCTACTAATATTTTGGTTCTGAAATCTTAACCCTCTGCACATTTCAAAGTTCTAAATATTCTGTCACCCAGGCTGGAGTGTAGTGACATGATCACTGCTTACTGCAGCCTTCACCTCCTGAGCTCAGGCGATCCTTCTGCTTCAGCCTCTAAGTAGCTAGGATTATAGGTGCATGCCACGACACCTGGCTAATTTTTTGATTTGATTTTTTAAAATAGAGATGGAGTCTCACTAAGTTGCCCAGGCTGGTCTCGAATTCCTGGGCTCAAGCAATCTTTTCTCGCATCAGCCTCCCCAAGAGCTGGGATTACAGGTGTGACACCGTACCTGGCCCAAAGTTCTAAACTTAACTGGTAGAGCTAAAGTCACACTATAGTTTACTACTACTGCTACTATCTAAACTACCCTCCAACCCACTCCTAGGAATAAACTCAAAAGGATTAGAACCAAAAAAGAAAAATAAAAGGCAAGTAAAATAAACTTGAGTTCAGCACAGTTTTCTACATAGCAGCAGAATGTTATCAAAATTAATGCACTTTAACATTATTTTTCTTTACAATTTCTTGGGTAAAATCAGTACTACTGGGAGTTCGTGGAAAGAGCCTGAGTTTTAAAGTCATCTAGACTCAAATTTGAATCTGGGCTCAACAACCTGTTAGCAGTGGAACCTTGGGCAATTCATTGAACTTCTGGGAGTCTTTGAGTCTATAATTTTAAACAAAGGCTCATATGACATCCTTGGAATTGTTGCATGAGGGTTGAATGAGATAAGACACCTCGAGCACTAACCACAAGTTCCTGGCATACCTCAAGCTCTCAACATGGGTTTTTTTTCTTAGGTTTCCAGGTTGCCTTTCCAAGTCCTGCTCATCCATAAAACTGGCATGAAGTAGGACGATGATACATTTACTACCAGAATTTTTCTAGATTCGATCATTGGCAACCTTTACTCAAAGATGGAGCAAACATTTCCACTTAAAAAACTAGACTGAGGCCCACATTTTAGTTCCCATACATGTTAGCAAGTTACTTTTGGACAATTCACTCCCGCTGCTACTTGGACCAGAAATTGCCAACAAAGGAGGTGACAGTTGCCCTGAACCAATATTTGAAGGCTTTTTAAAGTGTTAACATGAACCGTTTCCTCCCATGTTCATCACTGTAGCCTCTGGCAGGAAGAATGAGATTCTGGGGCCCTCTGTTGCATGGACACAAACATGAACTGACTTGGACTCACTGACTTCTGAGAAAATTCTGTTTTCACCCATTGCCTGTGCTAAAGATCTTCTTAATGCAATTAAGAGAACATCGTCTCAAAAAAAAAGCAGCAGAATCAGTCCTACCTGGAGCAAACGTTCCTGCTCCTGTTGCCATTTTTCCTGTCGCTTGCGCTCCTCCTCTGGGTCCCATGCCCAGAATTTAAACTGCATAGAAAAACAAAACCGTGGTCAGAGTTGAGTCATGTCCTCAATGCTGGCTAGCTTATAAATAAATGAACCAGTGTTAGGCGGCAGAAAGCTATCAAAATTAATGCATTTTAACATTTATGTCACACGTAGGCTGGCGATTTAACACTCATGTCGAAAGGGCCAGAGACAACAACCAGTCTCTAGTCTGGCACCAGGTGGACATGCAGAAATAGAAGCCTTCATGTGTCTAAATATCCTCTTTGGTGGCAGAAACTTTTTTTTCTTAAAGTCAGGGTCTCACTCTGTTGCCCAGGCTAGAGTGCAGTGGCACCGTGACAACTCACTGCAGCCTCAAAACTCCTGGGCTCAAGTGATCCTTCCTTTTCAGCCTCCCAAATAGTTGTGATTACAGGCACACTACCCATACCTGGGTAATTTAAAAAATTTTTTGTAGAGATGAGGTCTCGCCATGTTGCCCAGGCTGCTCTTGAATTCCTGGGCTCAAATAATCCTCCCATCTCAGTTTACTAAAGTGGTGGGATTACAGGCGTGAGCCACTGCACCCAGTGGCAGAAGTCATTTTTTAGTCTTAGTCCCTCTCTGGTTTATATCCAAGGTGCTGATATGATTCTGTGAGCCTTTTTGGAACTAATGAAAATGCAAAGTAATTTGCCACTGGCACAGGAAAACTTTGCTTCATTTCTCTGAGAAGTGATTTCTTGGATGCATTCACACACGCGAACACAAGATGCTCATTACATCGATCCGGGCCCCAAGTAAACGGGCTGGTAATTTCAGCAGAAATGTATTTGTAACAAGTGGAGATTGCCACACAAGAAAACTAATCTTTCATACTGCTATGGCTTTTCCAAGCCAGCTTTCCCTAAAGTGGATTATTTAACTCACCAACGTTCACCTGTACCACCTGAGATCCAGGTAAGGGGGTCCTCCGCCCCAGAGCCAGCATAACTCAAACCCAAAGACTTCTTCTTTTCTTTTTAAATTTTCCATTGTTATTATTATTATTTTTTGGAGTGAGGAGGGTCCCACTGTGTCGCCCAGGCTGGTCTTGAACTACCTGGCCTCAAGTGATCCTCCTACCTCAGTCTCTCAAAGTGCTAGGATTACAGGTTTACAGGCGTGAGCCACCATGTCCAGCATTTTATTTTTGTTTTTATTTTAAGAAAAACTTTTTGCAAGTTTGAAAACCAAGTACATAAACAGAAATAATAGGAGAAAAATACATAAACCAAAGCTGCCTCCCAGGCCACAGAATATGAGACCAGCGGGGTACAGGGAAAAAGAAAAGTCACAGCCCATCCCTGAGAAGCTAGCCAAAGAGGGACTGCTGTGTTTAAAGTTGCCGCCCCAGTCACCCAGTTCCCCAGTAACTGCTCCTCCCCTTCCTTTGTTCTGAGGGAGCAGTTTAGGGAGGCATTTAGAACTGCCTGGGAGCCGGCTCGGTGGCTCAGCCCATAATCCTGCACTTTGGGAGGCTGAGATGAGTGGCTTGCCTGAGCCTGAGGGTTCGAGACCCACCTGGGCAACTTAGCAAGACCTCATCTCTACAATAAATCAAAAAATTAGCCGGGTGTGGTAGCGCGCGCCTGTAGTTCCAGCTATTTGGAAGGCTGAGGTGGAAGGATCACCGAAGCCCAGCAGGCAAGGTTGCGGTGGCCAGGAGCAGCCACTGCACTCCAGTCTGAGCAACAGTGAGACTCCAACTCAGAAAAAAAAAAGAGTAGAAAAGGCAAGAGGAGGGTGGGCAGTTGGGAAGGGCTTGGCGCGCGGGGGGGGGGGGGCGCAGAGGTGCCAGGGAGGGGAACAGGCAGAATCTTACCTTCCCTAGCTGCCTGGGAAGTGGGACAGGGACACTCCTGTCCAAGGTTTTCAGAGGCCCAGCTACTGCTCAGGACACCTGGGCCAGCTCGCCCTCCACCCTGCCCTGCCCCCAAGAGATCCACTCTACCATTCAGGCTCACACCAGGTAGGCTGGCCTGGGAAAGTGTCTCCAGGTAGAGAATGCAGACCGGGCCCTGTGTGATGCTTGTTTGATTGGTGACTTAGAGTCGGTGTCTCACTCTCTTGGCCAGGCTGGAGTGCAGTGGCACGATCACAGCCACCGCAGCCTTCACCTGCTGGCTCAGGTGATCCTTCTGCCTCAGTCTTCCAAGTAGCTGGAACCACAGGTGTGCGCCACCATGCCTGGCTAATTTTTTTATTTGTTGTAGAGATGAGGTCTCGTCAAGTTGCCAAGCTAATCTCAAATCCCTGGGCTCAGACAATTCTCTGGCCTGCACCTCCCAAAATGCTGGGATTACAGGTATGAGCCACTACGCCCAGCCTTTGATTTATAACTTTTTAAATAGCTAGAACTTTAATATATTTAGACAAATGAAATGGGGCCCTCACTTTGTGCTCTTGCTGCAAAGGGCTGGGATGGCCATGGTGCTCACAGAACAGTCCAAGAGAGGTGGGCCAGTCAGCTTGGGAAATACACTTCCTGTTTGCCACCCTGGGATTCACAGTGCATGTGCACATACCGGGGGAAGCCTATGTAATTGTATATACAGAGAATGCCCAACTTAGGAAGGTCTGACTTAACAAACTTTGAATTTTACCATGGTTTATCAGTGATACACATTCTGTAGAAATCATACTTTGAGTATCCACACAACCATTCCGTTTTTCTCCTTGAGTACAGGATTCAACATATTACATGAGCTAGTCAACACTTTATTATAAAATAGGTTTTGTGTTAGATGATTTTGCCCAACTGCAGGCTAATGTAAGTGTTTTGAATACATTTAAGGTAGGCTAGGTTAAACTATGATGTTTAGTAGGTTAGGTGTACTAAATGCATTTTCAATGTACAATACTGTCAACTTATGATGGGTTTATTGGGATATGATCCCACTGTTAAGGAACATCTGTAATCTAAAGTTTCCCAAATTTCCTTGAGTGACCACAAATGGTGTCCCAATGTGGATCCCAGATGGGAAATTCTATTGGAGTTGAATGGTATTAGAAGTTGATGTCACCTGGCATTTCCCTAGAACATGGAGACAGCTTAAATGCTCAGACCCGCTCTCAGGAATGCCTTTTGTTTTTTGAGGGCAAGAGGGTGTTTATGTGAATAAAGTCATAGAAAGACCACTGAGAGACATAGAAAGGCCACTACTTCCAGTAGTAGGAAGATAAGAGAAACAATGAGGAGTAACTTCATTTTCAGATTTCATGAGTTAGTGATCTCAGGAATAAGTAAAGAGTAGGCAGGTAGGAGGAGGAAGTATGGAGTGGAGTATTGAGCACAGAAAATGAAGAATGTGAAGGGGGACCCTCCCAAAATGGAATTATCTTTTCAAGGGCAGGCCCCTTGCAATATAGGCTTCCTTCGCTCGGTAGATGTCCTAGGAACCCATTAGCATCAGTGTACCAGCTAGCATTGTGAGAGGCAGCGTTTGGCTTCGTGAATTTTTTTGGAGATTTTTTTCAATGCGTTTGCCCATTTCATGATGGTGATTTATAAGTGCATCTGCCCACACTGCGCCAAGTTCAGCAGTTTTTGACAAAAAACAGCATGACCCCCATGCCCCATCCTTCCTGTTCACCTGATCTCACACTAGCGACTTTCTTTTTTTGTTTGTTTGTTTCCCCAGATGAACAAAGTTCTCAAAAGGAAACATTTTGCCAATGTGGAAGAAGTAAAACAAAAAAATGGCAGAAGCACCAAAGACATCATAACTGACGAGTTCAAAATTTGTTTTGAGAGTAGAAAAAGCATCTTGATATGGTGTACTGCATCCAACAAAGAATACTTTGAAGGTGACTGAAGTTTAGACGTGAGGATTTCTATAAATAAATTTCTAAAAAATAAGTTTTTTTAAAAAGAAATTCCGGGGTTTTTTGGGTCCCCCTCAAATGTGTTGAAAGAAAAGAGGGAAAAGCAGTGGGCATTCTAAGAGGAAGATAAAGGGGAAGATATCAGCATATAAACAAAAGGGAATAAAATAGTGATTTTGCTCCTTCCTTTGGCTATTATCTGCTGAGCACTTACTATGGGCCAGGTGTGGTATCAGTGGCTAAGGGTTTCAGCCTTGTGAGGCTTCTGGCTGAGTGTTCTTGGGATGGAGGCGTGGCCAAAATAGAAATGATCACCAGAAGACAGTGTGATACTGGGCACATACAGGCACAAGGATGGGAAGAGGCATGGGCACTACTAAAGAGGGGCAGGAGAGAGGGGGTTAAGGGCTGAAAAACCAGCCATCGGGTCCTATGGTCACCACAGGGGTGAGGGAAGGAGTGGGGTTACCAGAAGCCCAAACCTCACCATAAAGCAATATCCCTATGTAACAAAACTTCACATGTACCCTCGATTCTAAAATAAAATGAAGTAAATAATAATAAACAAGAAGATGGCATGGTGCCTATCACAGAAGAGAAATAAAAGGTGCTGGAGAAAGTCAGAATGGAGAGCATCAAGCCCACTTTGTTCTATAATTCATCTGGGTACAGGTCTGTAACTTCCCTGGCTGAGGGATTTCTCAAGGGCAGGGAGGCCCCCATATAGGGCCTCAATATGTGTTTGCTGCATAAATGAATGGAAGACCTTCATGCTGGGAAGGCCTTCCATTCAGAGTCCTTCAGAGTCCTCTTTTCATGCTCCCTAGAGCCTCGGGTACTCCATGTCTAACCGAAAATCACCAGAGGCCACTGACGCCAGCCCAAGTTCCTCTTCAAGTTGTACTGATTTCCAAGTTTCTTTTACTTTTCTGCTTTCTATGAAGAGCTATGTACTACCAAAAGCACATCAAATTTGGGTAGGTAATTTCAGAGAATTTACTTATGTAGGTCAGAGATTTGTCTCATTCTTGTTCCATTTTCCATAATCTAGAAATGAAAATGTATCTCTTTGGGGTGCGCCCTTCTTTTCCACTCCTGCCTAGGGGGCACACAAGCAACCGATAACTTCATTCCAAATGCAATTTAACATGGAAGTCAATGGGTTGTGTTATACTCTTCAGATCTGTGCCAGGAATGCTGGTTCTGGATTGTTCTGGGGTTCCCATCCACCATGAATGAACTCAACTTCCCAGGAACTCAAGATTCTTGGGATTGAGCCTCCACCAATGTCTTTAGTTCTGGAATGTGGTTGGAGACATCGAGGATTATGTGCCAAGTGATGTGTCCCTTCTCCATTCTGCAGAAGCATTTAGGGACTCCCAGAGTAAGACAATTTACCTATAGATAAGAATTGGTATTGGCTCTGGTGGGCTTCCTGAGTCAGCTACTGGAGGCAGTATTTGATTATGTATCAAGCACTGTGCTAGAGGCTTCTGGGTTATTATCTCAATTAAGGCTCACAACAACCACAAAAGAAAAGTGTATTAACTCATCGTATGATCAAGGGAGGTGAGGTTCAGAGATGCAAGTAACACCTTCAGAGTCATATGGCCAGCAAATCTGGAACTAAAGGTACAGCAGTGATCATGGGCTGAGCCCAGTTGCTCAAGGGCAATGCCACCATTGGCTGTGCCACAGAGGAAGTCTATACACCTGATGAGAGTTTCAGAAAGTGAATGAAGATGACAGGCCCAGCGTTGGAAACACCAGTTCAGAGCATTCAGCTATAATTCAGCAGCAGGGAATTCCCACAGTATCATCCATCTTGTTCTCATTAACAAATTTCCTTTTATTTCATTGAAATACAAAACTGACTGTGCCTTGCTATGTTGCCCAGACTGATCTTGAACTCCTGACCTCAAGTGACTCTCCCCATTGGGTCTCTTATCCTTTCTCTCTAGTCTTTCTTTCTCTCTCTTATCCTCCTCTTCTATTTTTCTCTCATCTTTCCCTGTCTTGTGTGTTTTTCTCTCTCATGTCTCTCTCTCACTTGTCAGAGAAATGTTAAAAAAAAATCATTGAAAATTGCTGTAGGTTCTCTCAGGGAAAAGCATGAAGCAGGTTTGCCTTTTTTTTTTGTAGCGACTGTGTCTCGCTATATTGCTCAGACCGGTCTTGAACTCCTGGAAGTCTCCATAGCTGATAAAAATTTCAGAGGGTGAATGAGGATGACAGGCCCAGGGCTGGAAATGCCAGCTCAGAGTGTTCAGATGTAATTCAGCAACAAGGAATTTCCATGGCGTCCTATGTCTTATTTTCATTAACAAATGCCTTTTTATTTCATTGAAATACCAAATGGAAAGCAACATGAACAGTTACTATTATTCAAAAATACTGGTTGTGAAAGATGTGCTCAGGTCTCCCAGACAGAATCCAGGCTGGGTCCTGTCTGCCAACAATACGCTAGGTTGAGACATTGTTCTCATATAAAAAAATGATTCAGAATGTCTGTGGAAATTGCCTATTTTAATACTAATCCATACTGTCACCTTCATTTTAATTGCTTCTTTTAGATTTTACTTTCCTGACTTACCTATCCTTTTATTTCCAGGGACAATAACAACTCCACAAAATAATAATCCAAGTCTTTATAATTTACCTGGCTGCATTATATATGACTTTTAATTATTCTTTTAAAGTCAATTGCTTGGATCTCAATTTTGGCTGAATACTCCTTAAGCAAATCAAACATGTTATAGATTAAAACCACCTTAATTCATCATTTTATTCCTTAAAATGAGTTACTTACAGGTGAAGTTACAGGTGACTTTTCACTGCTTGGAGAATCTACTGCACAGAAAAAAAAAGAAAGAAAAATATATCAACATGAGTAGCCTCTAATTGTCTCTCTTGTTGATCCTCTCAGTGGAATGTAGATCCTTTGTCAGTTTCAAAGCAAATTTTTTTGTTGTTCGTTAAGAAAAAAGCAAAAATCACAATAAAGCAGACCCAGGTAGCAGGTTGTACCCATCACCAAAAGAAGTTACGAATGATGTAATATGATCATATCAACTAGCACCAGCTACTACACTAAGCAAAAACTATTCCTATGGGTGCTGGTTCTTAATACACTTTGCATTCTGGTTTGACCAAGCCGTTCCCTCACTGCCTGGCATGAAGAAATCTCATATGCAGAGAGACAAGATGTCACCCAGGAAGCACAGAGAGGGACACAGTTAGCAAGAGAACCATGATCAATTTCTGGCAAATGCTTGTTGGGGGAGCAATTGAGAAAGAGACACATAATATTATTTCTTTGGATTCTCAAAATCAACATAAAGTTCTGTGAATTTCCCCCGATTTTCAGTATAACAGGTACTGATATCAAAGAACTGGTTCTTTGCTGACTGTGTGTCAGAAACGAGCATTTTTTCTCCCCCTGAAATCAGAAATGAAGACAAATGCCAGACATCATTGGTTGCCCAACATGGATTTTTGCACAGAAGAAATACAACGACTCAGGATGTAGTTTACCTGACTGGGAGAAAAACTGGGAACGTCGCCAAGTGTTCTGAACTCTAAGTGGAACACTGGCAGTACCAGGCGACTCTAGATCAGATGGCAGAACAGAACAAACAGAAAACCAAGAAAACTGGGTGAGAACTGAATAGCACCTGGCTCCCAGGTAGTACAGGAGGAATGGTTGCTGTCAATGCAAGAATTGAGGGTCAGCAAACCTAAAGTCCGAAACGGCTTCATAAAACACGTACAAAACCCAAAGACATAGACAAAAATCAACAGAACTAAGAGACTTTATGCTACTGTGTGTCTCCCATGGCGTTAGGTGAAATTTCATAGGCTTGTCCTTAATGGTGATGTTAGTGTCAAATCTCGAAATGATAGGTCCTAAGCAAGAGCAAAATGCAGTTTGCACGGGCTTTAGAGAGCACTAGGAAAGTGTAAAAGGCAGTAGAGATGGGTGGTTTAATTTATTATGTTGCTTACATTCCAATCTATAAGATTTATGTATGGAAGTCTGTGGCAGATTTCCTTTTACAGGGGCAACCCCCCAAAAAAAACTTGAAATTTTTTAAATTAAAAATTGTGTATTTGTTCTTACATGTTGAAACTTCAGTCACCTTCAAAGTACTCTCTGTTTGATCCAATACACCTATTAAGATGCTTTTTCCACTGCTCAAAATAGTTTGTAAACTCATCAGTTTTGATGCCTTTTAGTGTTTCTGCTGTTTTTTTGTTTCACCCTTTCCACATCAGCAAAATGTTTACCTTTGAGGAGAGTTTTCATCCAGGAGAAAATAAAAGACACTTGTGGCGAGACTGGGTGACTAGGGAGGGTGGGAAATGAGGGTCATGCCGGCTTTGGTGTGGGCAGGGATGCTCATAAATCATCCATCATGATATGGGCAAAGGCGTTGAAAGAATTAAAAAAAAAAAAATTCACTGAAGCCGAACGCAGCATCTCACCACACTAGCTGGTACACTGATGCTGATGGGTTCCTAGAAAACTTACCTAGCAAGGGAAACCTGTACTACAAGGGGCCTGCCCTTCAAAAAATAATTCCAGAATTGTTTTGGTCCCCTCATACATGTATAAGAAAGGATGTGTGTATGTCTGCATATGGTGGCATCAGACACACAGAGCTCAGGACAAGCATTTGCATCCTTAAACTCTGTGCTATGCCAGTCTGCTATTATCAGTGTAAATTTAACGTGTGCACATATTTGACTGAAACACCCATTTGAGATCTCTTTTTTTCTGTTGGGAGACAGCTGGAAAAAGTAAATTTTTGTGTGTGCACATAGACGGGGTGCAAGTGTAATCTTGTAACATGCGTAGATTGTGTACTGGTATCACTTTTCAGTCTATTTTATAAATGTTTTCAGAGTTTCTTTGTTTTTGTTTTTTTTGAGTTGGAGTCTCACTCTGTAACCCAGGCTGGAGTGCAGTGGCACACTCATGGCCACCCCAGCATCAACCTGCAGGGATCTGGCGATCCTTCCACTTCAGCTTTCTAAGTAGCTGGAACTACAGGCAGGCACTACCATGCCAGGCTAATTTTTGATTTATTGTAGAGATGAGATGTTGCCAAGTTGCCCGGGCCGGTCTCAAACCCGCAGGCTCAGGCAATCCACTCACCTTGGCCTCCCAAAGTGCTGGGATAACAGGCTGAGCCACTGAGCCCAACCTATTTTTTCAAACTGTATTTACGCATGTGTGCATTTAAGGACAGCATGGTTAGGGTCTACCAGTAGATCCTCATTGGCTTGAATGATCGGTCCATAAACAGATGACTTTGTAGAAATGGAGAGACACCACTTTCTGGGGGAGAAAGTATTAGGTATAGCTCCAGGATTCCTGACCTGAATCCTGTAGTTCCTTTGGACTTGATGTTCAACTTCAGATTATTCACTTAAATGGGCACTTGTTATACCTGGGCAGAGACCTATAATTCCCCATGATCCCACCCCAATTAAAGATAAATTGTGTCTTTCAAAGTCTCATTTCTACATTTCTTCTGAGAGGCTTTTTGTTTCTTGAAAGAAAAAACTTGATAAATTCCAAGCAATTATTCCTGTTATTGCCATACCTATCTATCAACCATGTCTTGGGTGCATCATTTAAATAAACACCTCAAGTCGGTGTTTTTCAGAGTGTGGTCCCTGAATATGCAGCTTCAGTATCAGCTGAAAACTTGATAGAAATGCAAATACTCTGGGTCCAGTACAGACCTACTGACTCAGACACTGTGGGAGCGACCCTATACCTTGCAGGGACCCTGGCACACATGCGTTTGAGAACTGCATAAGCCCTATCACCACAACATAACACTCTTATTTTAAGGAAAGCGTTCAAGAATAGTCTATTTCTGCCTGGCATCTTGCTGTATACTTCTACTCCTCCTGCTACTGTTCTAGAATTTCTAAATTGTATTATTAGTGTTTACTCTGGGCCAGGTACTAAGCTAAACACTCCATGGACTATCTCATCTGACTCTTCCAATACCCCTCTGGGGTTGGTACTATTGTTATTTCTAGTTTACAGGTGATGATCAGAAATTAGGGAAAACTTGATAGGTTATACCACACAGCTGGGAACTAGATAAACAAGAATGCGAACCCAGATTTCCATCTCCAAGTCCGTAGCTATCATTATGGTTTCTGTGAACCAGGTAAGAGTGCACAACAGGTGTACTCCAAATAGCCTCCTACCTTGAAGAAAACATTTTGAAATGCTTCAGTGCTACTCAATTTTATTTTTTTAACCATTCAACTTGGGTAATGAATGAAGCAAAGTCCCTCAATTCAACAGGAATTTTATAAAATCAAAATGCCTCACAACAGACAATGGAATGTATAAATGTATAAGAAAAGAAAACTAATTAGTATGGCTTAACATATCTATTCTCTGTCTATATCACCTATCTACACAATTACCAAGGCAGAATTAAAATCGGTTTAGATATGGCCAATTGCTGGCCCAGTTGTGAGACATTATTTTTGTCAATTCCCTTCAGTACAGTGGGACTGACAAATTTTAGTTAAATACTTTGAGAAGAGTACTGAACTTGTTCCCACACTAGAAAACTAGTAACCATCAGTACATGTACCAGTTAATTCTTCCCAAGTGCTCTCTGTGCTGTGGACAGAGCCCAGCTTATCTGCAGTCAACAAAAGCTCAAGGAAGCCAACTCAGATTCTGTCAATGGTGGCCCCAAATAGCTGTCTCCTTCCTTGAAAAGAGACACAAAAATAAACCAAAGCTACAAAATGCCCTAGGGGAAGCACATTAAAAAAGAAAAAACAAGAAATCCTATAGCTCTTGCCTGCTGAACTCTAGTTTTTTTCACATTTTGAGAAAGATTCCACACCCATAAAGCCCACAGGTCTATCATGGATCCCATGGATCCTGGAGTTCTCAGGACCCATCCCCCACTGTTCACATCCCGAAGGGTCCTTTCTGGTGAGTGTGGGCACCTGGGTTTCCCACTAGAATAAAGAGGTCCTTAAAGAGTAAAGGAGTGAATTCACAACCCACATATGGCCTTCATGGTACTTGGAGAATTTGCAGTGGTCAGTGCCATTTTAAGTTCTTATGAGTCCTAAACTCCAGTATTTTTAGAGACCACCCTTCCCACACTGTATCAAACACATGGAAATGTATAAAATACATGAAACATTAAAATATCTCCTCAGTATGTATGTGTTAAACATATTAAAAATATATCCTCAGTATTATGTAGGTGTGTGTGTACACACACACACACAAACCAGGGGTGCCCCAAAACATGTATACACATTTAAAGAGATGTTATCTATATATTTATGTGATCAGAAGCATCTGGATACTGATGGTAACCACTTTGAACACAAGTCAACCATGAATTGTATTCATCTTTTGTTATAAGTATATATTATTACAATTTTAATACACTTTTTCTTCCTTAAAATGTGTACACATTTTTTGGCACCAAATATATATATATGCTATAAATAATCTTTAGAAAGATGAACATTTGGGGCTGTGACCAAAATGTTTAATCTATGATAGTGAATGTTTTCTCAGTAATTATCATACCTGAGATTACTATGGAGTAAAAAAAAAAAAAAAAATCTGATTTTTTCTCAAAATTATTGTCAAGTTAAATAGACACCACGAAGACTACAATTAACAATGAGGCTAACATAATATTAAGGTTATACACTTTTTATCAAAGTTATTGATTTTGTCATTGTCTTTTTAAACTTTGGAGATAACAAACATTTTTTAAAGATCTTAAACACTGGTGTAGGCCCTACTGATTCCCTGGAGACAGGCTGACAAAACGGCTTTGCAGCTGGGGTTCCTGGCTTGGTCGAATGGAGAATATAGCCCAGCTTTCCATTCTGAAGTTATGCACTCAGACATCATGAAGCCAGGACCACATCCACGCAAACACCCAGAGAAACATCCACAAAACCTAAAATAAAACATTTCCTTCTCTTTACCTTGAGAATTGAGATTTGGCAAATGTAGTTGGTTGGTTTCAGGCATTTTGTCCAGAAATGGAAACGTCAGGGTCGCTTCTGGCTCTGGAGATTTTGGCTTCACCACCTGGACGATGGGCGACAGACATAAACATCACATGTACTCTCCATGAATACATCCACAGGAAAAAATGATGTTGAAGGATTCATGGCTATTACAGAAGTCAAGAAGCTCAAACATTTAACTTTCAAATGGAATTTTTAGCTCTTCCCTTAAAACCCTTCCATGCTGTTCCACATGAATAGTCAGTTTTTTGGAGAAATCAAATAAGAGCACAGAAATGTGACGATCAGTTTTCTCCAAATCCAGAAGACAATACTCTGTCTTTGGAATTATACATCACTCTCTCTCATTTTCTTGTTGAACAAAAACATATTCTGTTCCTGATACCATATAATACTGAATATGTAATGTCAAGAAATGAGATGACCCACCTAAGATAATTTTTTTAAAAATCTTATTCTGTAATAGTAGGCTGGTCTTGAACTCCTGGGCTCAGGTCATCCTCCCTTGGTCTCCCAAAGGGCTGGAATTATAGGCATGAGCCACTGTGCCTGGCCTGTATTTGTTCTATATATGTTTAACTTTTTACAATGAACATGTAGTGTATTTGTATTTAGAAAAACTACAGATTCAAGTTAGGAGGAGAGATCAGGAGAGAAACTAAGTCTCCCTAATTAACAACTGCACAGTGAGGCCACGTTCAGGTCTGCACTTCATTGCCCACCACCACTGAGTGTCACCTTTTGTGACAGCACCAGCTCCACCTTTCCACTCATGTCACGCTCTGGTTTCTTCTGGTCCTTTTTTTCTTCCGGCTCATCCTTCTTCACCTGGGGGCTGGGGGCAAACTCCACAAAGGCCACGGTCGGGCTGCATCGAGTCACAGTGGTCGTGAAATACAGTGGCTCTGAAATGGCATTACGTCCAGAAACATAGAGAAGAAAAAGAAAGCCAGAGGAAGGACTGTTATTTCGCCATGCCAAGAGGTGCATTCAGTCTACACCCTGTCCAGAAGATGAGAAGTTAGATTTCAGCATGATAACAGGGATGAAAGAACCCAAGACACTGGAATCCTCAAAGCTCTTTCATGATCACATGAAGAAAACTGCAGCATAAACCACATCAGATAACCCCACTATGAAAAACTGAAGTTTTTAACAAAGATCACAGTTTACCTCTGAATAACAGTACATGAGACAAAACACTGACACGAAATAGTTAATGATGATGACAGCTGGGTTGGACAGGCGAACATCTACAGAAAATTTCTGTCCCAGAGGGGCTCGGTGGTTCAGTTTGTAATCCCGCGCATTTGGGAGGCTGAGGTGAGAGGACTGCCTGAGCCCATGGGTTCAAGACCCGCCGGAGCAGCGAGACCTCATCTCTACAATAAATCAAAAAATCAGCCGGGCGTGGTAGCGCATGCCTGTAATTCCGGCTACTTGGAAGGCTGAGGTGGAAGGATCGCCAGAGCCCAGCAGGTCGCAGCTGTGGTGGCCGGAAGCAGCCACTGCACTCCAGTCTGGGCGACAGAGTGAGACTCCAATTCAAAAAAAAAAAAAAATTTCTGTCGCAATGACTGAGTGACAGCCTGACTCTTCCTTTCATTTCAATGATCCTTTAAAAATCACAATTTCAGCCGGGCTCCGTGGCTCAGTCTGTAATCCCGCGCCTTTGGGAGGCTGAGGTAAGTGGACTGCCTGAGCCCGCAGGTTCGAGACCCGCCTGGGCAGTGAGACCTCATCTCTACAATAAAATAAAAAAGTTAACTGGGCGTGGTAGCGTGCGCCTATAATTCCGGCTACTCGGAAGGCTGAAGCGGAAGGATCGCCGGAGCCCAGCAGGTCGAGGCTGCGGCGGCCGGGAGCGGCCACTGCACTCCAGTCTGGGTGACAGAGTGAGACTCCAACTCAAAAATAAATAAATAAATAAATATCACAATTTCTTTCCCCTTTTAAAAATAGAGATGGCGTCTCACTATGTTGCCCAGGCAGGTCTTGAACTCTTAACTTCAAGCGATCCTGCCTTGGCCCTCCAAAGTGCTGGGATTACAGTCATGAGACACAGCACACTTCCTTAACTGATATGTGTTAAGAATTGTAGGATATACAAGGAGGGATCCAAAAAATAATGGAATTATCTTTCGGGGGGTGGGTCCCTTGTAGTACAGGCTTCCCCTGATAGGTTAAGTGTCCTAGGAACCCATCGGCATCAGGGTACCGGCCAGCGTTGTTGTGAGAGGCTGTGTCTGGCATCAGCGAATTCTGTTTGTTGGAGATTCTTTCAACGCATCTGCCCCCTTGGTGATGGGTGATGCCATGAACTGTCTGCCCACACCATGCTGAGTGTTCAGCGGTTTTCGACCTAAAATGGCAAGACCCCTGTGCCCCACTCTCCTTATTCGCCTGATCTCAGCCCGAGAGACTTTTTTTTTTGTCTCCCCTGAGGAAAAAAGTCCTCCAAGGGCAACGTTTTGCCAGTGTGGAAGAGGGGAAGCAAAAAATGGCAGAAGCACTAGAAGGCCTCAAAACTGATGAGTTCAAATACTGTTTTGAGCAGTGGAAAAAGTGTCCCGATAGGCGGATTGCAGTCAACAGAGTACTTTGAAGGTGACTGAAGTTTAAACATGTAAGAATAAATATATAATTTTTAATACGTAAATTCATTTTGCCCTCCCCTTGTATGTATATAATGCAGTGAAAATAGGCCAGGCTCGGTGGGTCAACCTGCAATCCCGGCACTTTGGGAGGCTGAGGCGAGTGGATTGCCTGAGCCCTCAGGTTCGAGACCCGCCAGGGCAACTTGGCGCGACCTCGTCTCTACAATAAATCAAAAAAATTAGCCGGGCGTGGTAGTGCGCGCCTGTGTTCTGGCTACTTGGAAGGCTGAGGCGGAAGGATCGCTGAAGCCCAGCAGGCTGAGGCTGCGGTGGCCAGGAGTGTGCCACTGCACTCTAGCCTGGGTGACAGGGGGAGACTCAATTCAAAAAAAAGGAAAAAGAAAATAAAGTGATCTCTGATATGTAAAGAAGAATTAGGTACATTTTACAGGTGGTGGAAAAGTCACCACCTGAAGGGTGTGTCAAAATGTAGAGACAAACTAGTTGAAAAAGCATATGCTAGGTCAAGGTGAGTGGATTGTCTAAGCCCGTGGGTTCAAGACCAGCCTGGACAACCTGGTGAGACCTCGTCTCTACAGTAAATCGAAAATTAGCTGGGTGTGGTAGCGTGCACCTGTAGTTCTGGCTACTTGGAAGGCTGAGGCGGAAGGATCGCCAGAATCCAGCAGGTGAACGCTGGGGTGGCTGTGAGTGTGCCACTGCACTCCAGCCTAGGTGACACAGTGAGATTCGAACTGAAAAAAAAAAAAAGAGCCGGGCTCGGTGGCTCAGCCTGTAATCCCACGCCTTTGGGAG